GAAAAGAATCAGCCTTATCAGAAAATACTTGTTATTAAAACCTCCTCCTGTGCTTACCTCTGCTTTTATTCTTTTACTAAAAAAGCCTCCAGTTGTTTCATAAACAATTCAGGTCCAAGCAATCTCAATTTGAATTCCTACCAAAAAAAAGTGGCTTTTGAGAGCAAAGCCTTCTTCTTAATTTGTCATGGTCAATTTGAATGTATTTATTCTGCAATCTTTTTAATTCATAACTTTCCAATAGCCTAAAGACATGAATGAATACACATCGCCTGTTTTTTGTGTTATCAAAAAGAAAAGGATTGTGTGCTGAGATTGAAAAGAGAAGGGTGGCTGAAAAGAAAGGAAGAAAAAAGAAGCATTGTTCATTCATTCCTGTGCAATCCATCTAGCTGAGGCAAAGCCTGCAACTGAAATGAAGCTAGCTGTAAACACAATAGGGAAGAGAGGAACTCCCAGAGAGAGAGAGAGAGAGAGAAAGACAGAGAGAAAACTCCTCGTTCGTGAGAGAATGGCTGATGGCTGCCCACATGAGCTCTGTCCCCACTTTACCATCACTCACCCTGCTTTCTCTGTCTCTCTCACCCTCACCCTGCTTTCTCTCTCTCTCTCTCTCTCACCCTGTTTTCTCTCTCAGCCTGCTTTGTCTGTCTCTCCCTCACCCTGCTTTCTCTCTCTCTCACTCTGCTTTCTCTCACCCTGCTTTCTCTGTCTTTCTCACCCTGGTTGCTCGATCTTGCTCCCCCTATTTTCTCTCTCTCTCCCTCCCCCTCTCTCACACACACCCACACATTGTCTTCTCTCTCTGCTTTCTCTCTGTCTCTTCTCTCTCTCCTGTCATCCTTCCTTCTTTCTCTTTCCCATCCAGCCCACTCTCTCTCCCCTCTCTTCTTCACCTTGCCTTCTCTTTTGCTGTCTTTCTCACCCTGCCTTCTCTCTGTTTCTCTCAATCTGCCTTCTCTCTCTCATACTGCCTTTATATTTCTCAAATTTGCCCTTTTTCTTTATATTTTCTCCTTTTCATCTCTCCTTACCCCTTCTCTCTCTCTCTCTCTCGTTCAGTCTCTTTGCTTCTGACATCTCTCTTTCTCTTTATCTCTCCATGTCTTTTACTTTCCTCCTTCCCCGTCTTTCTTCTTCCTGTCTATTTGTTCATCCCACTTACCTCTCTATTCTCTTTTCTATCACTCCTTCCTCCTTATCTCTCCTCTCTTTTCTGGATCTTCCTTTCTATCTCTCATTCCTCATTGATCTCTCTCCTATTCTTTTTGTTTTCTATCTTTCTTTGCTCTATTCCATCCCTCCTTCTCCTTTCATGTATTTCTCTCATTCTTTCCTTAAATATGCTTTTCTACCTGTCTTCCCCCTTCTTTCTCTCTCTCGCTCCCACTCTCTCTCATGTTCAGTTTTTTACCTCTGACATCTCTCCTTCCCTCTTTATCTCTCCATGTCTTTTACTCTCCTTCTTCCTCGTCTCTCTTCTTCCTCTTTTTATTTGTCCATCCCCCTTATCTCACTCTCTACCCTCTTTTCTATCATTCCTTCCCCCTTATCTCTCCTCTCCTTCCTATATCTTCCTTTCTATCTCTCATTCCTCATTGATCTCTCTCATTCTTTTTGTTTTCTGTCTCTCTTCTCTTTATCTCTCTATGCTCTATTCCATCTCTCCTTCTCCTTTTATCTATTTCTCTAAAATATTCTCTTTTCTGTCTTTCCCCTTCTTCCTCTCTCGCTCCCTCTCTTTTTTCCTTGCTATCCTTTCCCCTTTAAGACTCTCACACTTTTTTGTTTTCTTTCTTTCCATCTGTCCCTCCTCTTTTTTATTTCCTTCCCTCTCTCTCTCTGTATCCTCCTCTCTATCTGTCCTTCCCCCTTATCTCTCCCTCTCTTCCGCTCATTTCCTTTGGCCTTCTCTTCTTCCGCATCTCATTTGTATTGTTTTCTTAGGTTTAATCCTGGAGGCCTCCGGGAGACATGCCGTTCCTCCTAAATGGCAGCAATCAATTTTGATTACCGGTCACGGCGACTTCGAGAGGAGCCCATCAAACTTTTATTAAGGAGACGAGCAATAATTACGGCCTTCGCGGGGCCCCATAGCACGGAGCCCGAGCTCCTCTAATGATTGGAAGCTGGGAGACGAAATGACAGCCGAGCAGACCTACAATCCAGAGCGAGAAATAACCAAGTACACAGTTCCCTCCAGCAGCTGCTGGGTGAGGCCATGATATCTCCTCTCTGCTCCAGACCAGACAGGCTGGAGAAGCGGGATAATAACTTGTTCAGAATCTTCACAAAACTAATGATCATTTCAGAGACATGTAATTAAAGGAGCAATCAAATTCACACTGGTTCTCTCTTACCTCAAATGTAGCTGATCAACTAAGACACTTCAGGTGCCTAAAGTTTGCTTCTTAAGTTTTGCAATGGAGCTATGAGGATAATAAGTAATAGGAGCTTTTAATCAGCTGTGCAGACTGCATGCTTAAATCATCACAGGTGCTTCAAACCATGTCGAGCTGTTAAGTGATCTCAAATAGACTTGCATATGAGATTTTAATAAAAATGGACATAACTATGTCGCTAAAAACAGCAGCAGCATCCATTTTGAAGTAAATTTTGCCTGTACTTTTGTCCATTTTGGAGGAAAGTATACAGACGACTGTCAAATTAAATGTTTTTTTTGTTTGTTTGTTTTTTTTCGTACACATGCTGTACAGGGAACACACTTCTGCACATTTTAATGGACAATTACTCTTAATTTGCTGAATGTAACATACTGGAAAAAGAAATAAAACAAAACTGTGGCACATCTTGTATTTTACATATTTCCAATATGTTAAACTCAGCAGGTAAACAGAAACTGTAGCAAAATCTGCAGAAAATTCCAGATTTAAGTTTGTTCCCTGTAGAGGATGTGTACTTATTTTCACTTAAAAAATCAAACAAAACATGCAGTTTGACTGGGAGTGTTTACATGTTTGCATACGACTCTATGATGATTGAAGCGTGCAGTCAGCATGATGCTAATTGATGGAAATAAGCTTCTATTACTTAGCCACACTAGCTTTGGAGCTCCAGTGCAAAACTAAAGAAGACCTCAAACACATCTTGGCTTACTGACTACATTAGGAGTTGGGGGAAAACTGTAAATTAGTCTTTCAATACTACTCTTTAAAGGAAAGTTCCATTGATTTTTGGAAGGTTCTGTATAATTAAATCATTAGGATGTAAACAGAGTCATCCAGAGTGGTTGGATGTGAAATGCTCCGTTCTGGAGAAACTTATAGAGTCAGAATTGTTCACAGTGGTGGTGACAGGAACCAGATGTCTGGAGCCTGTAATGTCTCTAGAAGCAACTTCACAGAAAGCTATTTCATAAAATGGTTATGACTATGTTACCTGATGTCTGAGACAATGTTTATGATACCTTTGAGGTAAGCTTTTGGCCTATAATATATTAGTCCCTAAAGAAAACCATTTAACCATTATTAAAACTACACATAAAAACTCAGAAGACGTGTATATTGCACTGCAGACATCGCAACTCCTAGTTCATATCACCACCACTGCAGAGAAAGCAATTGGTAAGTTTCTCTGCAAATACCATTTCATATCAAACCACTCTGAACAACTTTGTTTACATCTAACCAATTGATTTATCCCAGGGGTCGACGGCTCTTTTACTGCCCCTGTTGCGGCTCCACAGCAGAACTAGATTTTTAGGTTAAAATAAAATAATCCTCCTTTTCAGTAAAATCAAGCTCTACTGATCGTTTTAACAATTTTAACAATTTTAACAATAAATGATCTTAAACAGTGGAGTTAATGTAGCCTAAATCTGCTAATTTACACAGCAACACGGACAACAATCTTGCCCAGCTAGTAGCTACCGAAAAATCAAAGAGAAAGATTTAAGACGAACATTGATAATTTGGAGATGAATGGACTTATTTGCATTTATAATCACTCCAGCTGGTTTCCTGATTAATTTAATCTGCAATGAGAAACTGCCAAACACTAAAAAGTTATGAAGCTGAAGTCAGTTTCTTGTTCAGATTTTCCCATTCCACCTTAAATAGTGCAGTTGTTACATTCTGGCGCCTCAAGCACCATTTAAGGTGGAACAGAGAAAATTTGAAAAAAGAAGCTGGCGAATGAGAAGTGACTTCAGCCTCGTAAAAAGTCAAACACTGAGAGACATTTTATAAGAAACTGTTCTACTTTTGCGAAAAAGTTTCCTGCAAGAGATGCGAGAAAAGCAGCTATAGGTGAGCTACAGCTTAAAGCAGAGCAAAGTTAGTCTGCATTTTCATTTATATTATATATTTTTAGCCTATACTAGTACATCAGCACACACTGAGACATATTTAGACAAGATGGTAAAATGGACATGAAATGCTGTGGCTCCAAAGGTGGTTTGATTTTTGTTGAAAGGACAAAATGGCTCTTCTTAATATTTGGGTTGCCGACCCCTTTTAATCCAGAAATTTTGAAAATGAATGAAGACGGTCTCCTCAAAGAAGTGAGACATATATCCGTGTGAGGATGAGGAGAGGGAAGTGTTCCTTATTCACAAAACCCACAGAGCGAATGAGTGATTGAGTCTGACCTGAACTTGAATGGAATTTGTGCTACTTTAATATGCTTAAAGTTTTTTTTTTAGGAAAATCGACCTCATTGTCAAAATCATGCGGCATAATTTCTCTTGCTGGTGGAAGGAGGATGGCAGCAGGGTCCTTCAGCAGCAGCCTCCACTCTAATGAAGCAAGTGCAGCTGCACTGAGCGCTGAAGTGTTCTCAGCCTAGCCAGATCAGTTCAGATCAAGGCAGGCCACAGAGAACAACATGCCCTTGGCGCACAGCTGGGACCCTCCATCAACTGCCCTCAGAAAAACCACAGTGAATTAGTCTGATGCAGTCACAGCCCTTTCTCCAGTGGAGATGGAGGCCAGGGACTGGAGTGGGAGCGTGTATATATATGTGTGCATCTCTGTACTTACGTCTGACATCTTTGAAGTAGATGGTCTGTCTGTTGGGGTTGAGGAGCTGGATGACGGAGTCGTCATTATTTTTGACTCGACAGCTGATAGTGGCCGTTTCCCCCTCCACCACTGAGACGTTGTCTGTCACAAGGTTCTGGCTTTGGACTTGAGAAAGAAAGAGAGAGGAAAAAGGGGGAGAGAGGGGGAGAGAGTGAGAAAAAGCACTGTCCATGTTAGAGCCATTTCTTTCACACAGAGATAAAACCCAACAGCGGCTAAAACCCACAATCTAACACTTACATGAGTGCACGATGAGGAGCGGGTGGCAAAATGCACCTGGAGCGGGTGTGAATACCCAGCAGAGTGTGAAAGTGTGTTTTTTTCCCCTCTCCTCCCTGCACGGCCAATACATTCATGAACCTGTACGCGTTTCATGTTACACGTGCCTGGGCTCTGGGCTGCATCGCACCTCCGCATCGCATCTCCGTGTGATCAGAGACGGCTGGTCCACCGTGACCCATGGGCTTTATTTTATTTGAGGACACGAAGGTCAGAGATCTGTTCGCCCTTAACGGCTCCATGCCGAGGCAAAATAGCCTTTTAATGGGGCCCCGCTGGTGACATCCTGTATAAATAAAAATAATGCATGGCCACAACTTAGTAAGGCATGGAAATGAGATCCTAATGCGTGGCCACACCTTAGTAAGGTGTGGGAACGAGGTCCTAATGCGTGGCCTAATGCGTTTCAATGCCTTAGTAAGTCATGGCCACGACTTAATTATCTCATTCCCATGCCTTACTGAGTCGTTGGCATGCATTAGTATCTCATTTCCAAGCATTAATAAGGCGTGGCCATGCATTATTTTCTCTGTAATTTCCACCTGTTTTGGAATCCCTCACTTAACTATGTTAATGTTGATGGAACGCGGAATATCTTTAGATAGATTTAGAAATGCATATGATTTACAAAACTAGAAGCAAAAGATAAACGAGCAAGTTAATATCAGTAAAAGTGTTTTTATTGTGTTTTAATGCTATTCTTTTGTGGCAGTTGCGCATGATTTTTTGATAAGAAATTGGCAGTTTGTTTTATCTTGGAATGGCATGAACTGTTTTACAGCAGGGGGCTCCTTCTCTTTCACCCCTCATTGCTCACTAGCAGTTCAACAAAGAGTGTGAAAACACTTAGTTAGCTCAGAGACCCTCCCTGATCCAATGTTGCACTCGGAAATACGTCATGGTATGGAAGAAAAATGTCTGATTCATGTACATTTACTTTAATAATAGTAATTTATACATTTAATAAACGTTTATGTATCGATATTGGCAGACATGCACATGAAAAATATTAGAGGGTAAAGCTAGGACATCATTATGAAGGAGCAACTCACATAGGAAATTAGTAAATAAATAACAACATGCACTGAATTCTATATTTAGCGCCACTCCCCGCTGGCGCTAATAGGAAAACATGAATGGGCAAGTGCCAGAGAGATAAATAAATATGCAACCAAAAAAAAGGGGAAAGGAAAAAAAAGCCATGATTTGCATGCTTCAGATGTCAGGCCCCCCTCTAAACAGCCCTGTCACTTTAAGTAGAGGAGAAGAAAGCAATCAGATCCTCTGATGGCGCCCGATAAGGAGAGACAGTTTAACAAAACTGATTTCAATCAGGCCGGCAGAAGTGGAAAGTGAAAACAGACCAAACAAATGAACCTCATGAGAGAGAGAGAGAGAGAGAAGAGAGTGAGTGATACTTAAGACTTGTCAAAGGGAAATGGAGGGTGGTTGGCAAGGAGTGTGTGTGTGTGTGTGTGTGTGTGTGTGTGGGTCGGGAGGGGGGCCCGGAAATGCAAATCCAGTCCATGTTTATCTAAGAGAGAGGTTACAGATGAAGGTTAAGCACGCAGTGGGCTCCAGTGGTTGTCATGGCGACAGTGTTAAATGGGGGCCACTGCGTGATGGTTCGACTCGTGGGCGGTTATCACATAAGTGACAGAAGATGCAGTTTACAGTACACACACTCGAGTGTCAAGGTCTAGAACAGAAGTACAGTCAAAAGTTCATCCATGTTTAAAAGAATCTGTGTTTTTCACAATCTTAAAGTCATTTTCATCTGCAGCAGCGTTACTCACTGCGTGGCTCTAATCGTAATAATAATAATATTAAGAGTTACCTAGCCTACAGCGTAACTTACCACAACCAAACATTCAAAACTGTACTTAATTCAGGTTAAAGCTATATCACTCATCCCTCAGAGTGAGAGAGCACCACAGCATACATTCACAATTCAGTATTTGTTTAATGCTTCCACAAAACAGGCCTATTATCACTGGGTTTAATGCTAACTTAGTTAAACTTTGGCAAGCCTGCTGAACACACTGTATCATTGCTGGCACATACTGATCTTTCAACAGCACAAATTGGGCAAGCTTGTTTTGTACTAGTGACACGGCTGCTTCTAGGTAAAGGAGGGCTGCTTTAAAGCCAGGCCCGTTGCAAAATACTATCCAGCCCGCAAAATTCATTTTATTATTCTGTTAATATTAGCTTGTTTTACAATGCACTGCACTATATTCCCCAGCATGCACTGGAACAAAATGTGTGCTCTGACTCCACTCGGCCAACAGTAATCTACTGGACAGTATAGTGTATTGGACAGGACAGTGTTTTTACGCTTAAAAAAAAACAAAAGATGCCACGTGTGAAAAAAGCAAATCAAAAGCAAAACAAAAAAATCTTACTTACTTATAAGTTATTTAAGTTTATTTCATTTGTTTTGCTAAATAAACAACGGTTGGGTCATAGCAAAATGAAATAAAATGTTCTCTGGCCCATGAATCTGTTGAGAGTGTTTGATATGGCCCTTTTAGTGGTTGGGTTTGACACCCCTACTTTAAAGAATAAAAAAAAATGTACGGTAAATTGTAAGAGCTATTTTAGATTTCTAATCTGTATTATTTTTTTAAAAAAGTGGAAAACAGTACAAACAAGAAAAGCCTATATACAGATATGTGAGTGCAAACCTTTTACTACCATATATTCATATATGAAGGCTATGCGAAAACAGGCTAGCCAGAAGCCGCTGAACTGGATTTTAATTCTCCTCCCTGTTCGTGTCTGTCTTACTTACTGCAACTGCCCATTTGACCCTGCATTTAATATAAAAATAACCAGGGATCATTAAGGCAACCCAGATTCATCTATTTCACCACTGCTCAAAATGAATAAACAAACAAATAACACATAAAAGCAAAGCAGAGTTCTACTTCATGACACAACATTTGTCAGGGATTAGTATTCGAATGGTCCTTGCAGTTGTCACGACATAGGAAAACTGATTTATACAGTCTCTGCGTTACCTTTCTTTAGCACTGTTACACTGAAATCTGCTAAGTGGAAACACAATTAAAAATTGATTTGGCAGTTCCATTTAGAATTCTACATTTTGGAGTGGGATGCTATTTTGCTGTGTGGGAAAGTGACAAACCAGCAGTTAAACCAGCGCAAAAAGCTCAGGAGACCTTGTGTGTTTTTGCTGCTTCCCAAAAAAGTGCAGCAGAAGTTCAGGCGCGAGCCTCAGCGAGACGCAGTTTAACTATTCATGCTCAGCACAGCAGATGTTGCGCCTGCAGCTTGAGGAAAACATGAGGTGTATGATATATTGGAGGCACACACATGAGCCACTAGGTTATGCCACAGAGTCAGAATCAATGAGAGACAGAGGTAAACATTTTAATGACCCTGCAGCATGTGCTCTGTTTCTTTGGCAGCTCAGCAAAATGTGCAGATGTATGAATTCAATTTGTAAAAAGTCGGGACAATAGGTAAAATGCGAATAAAAACAGAAGGCAGTGATTTATAAAGCTGTTTTGACCTGTATTTGACCAAAAACAGTACAAAGACAAGGTATGTAATGTTTTACCGTATCAACTTCAATCAACTTCTTTTTTTTTTTGTAAATCTATGTTCATTCTGAAATTGATGCCTGCAACACATTCGCAAGGTGGAAGAGGGGCAATTTTAGATGTTCAACAATGTTCAAAAAATACCTTAAACAGGTGATGCAATTATGCTTGGATATGAAAGGAGCATCCGGGAAAGGCCCTGTCCTTTATGAGCAAGGATGGGTCAAAGCTTTCTACTCTGCCAATTATGCATCAGCTAAACATCCAATAGTTTAAAAACAACATTCCTCATATAATAAAGGGCAAGGCCAAAAACCACAACCGAATGCCCATGACCTTTGACCCCTCAAACAGCACTGCATTAAAAACTGGCATGCTTTTGTGATGGATTTCACTGCATTAATTCAGCAATACTTTGAAAAAATAAACACCTTCTGTCGCTGCATCCACAAATGCAAGTTAAGACTGTTTCATCAACAGAAGCCATATTTTAACAGCGTCCAGAAATGTGGCAGACCTCTCTGGCCTCAAGCTCATCCAAAATGGACTGATGTACAGTGGAAACGTGTATTATGGTCTGACGAGTCAACCCTTCATATTGTTTATGGAAATAGTGAACGTGGTGTTCTCTGGGCTAAAGAAGAAAATGCAGCATCCAGATTGTTACCAGCATAAAGTTCAAAAGCCAGTGTCTGTCATAGTATGGGGGCTGTATTAGTGGGTAAGCAGCACATCTGTGAAAGCACCAAACTGGACATATGTTGGGGCAAATGCTGTCTTCAGGCATCATCTTTTTCAGGGATGTCCATGCTTATTTCAACATGACAATTCCAAAACACATTCTGCATGTGTTGCAACTGTGTAATCAGAGTGCTACACTGGCTTGCAAGCAGTCCAGACCTGTCTCCCATTGAAAATGGGTGTCTTATTAAGCACAAAGTAAGAAAATAAAGGCCTTGTATGGTTGCACAGCTGAGGACTTGTACAACAGAAGAACGGAAAAAAATTCCACCCTTGAAAACTGGATCAGTTTATGTCTTCAGTCCCCAAATGCTTATTATGTTCTGTTAAAAGGAAAGGTGATATAACTAAGTGTTAAACATGCTCCTGTCCAACTTTTTTGGAACATGTTGCAGGAAAGGTACAGCATAAAAGAGTGTTTCTGTATCACTTTCAACTGAATACAGGTCCAAGAAAATTCACTAATCACTGCTTTCTGTTTTTATTACCGCCCCAACTTTTTCAGGATTTGGTTTG